TTTTTTTTTTTTTTAATGCCAACCCCAGATATTTTTGGGCTGACAGAACACACTGTCCGTGTCCTGAGAGTCGAGTCAGGCCCTGGGCAACTTGGGTTCAGCACCACGCTTGCTCAACAGCGACTGGAAGCAGCACTGGTCTCCCCACGCCAGCACACGTGTCTCTGGCAGCAGATTCTGCTGCGCGCACTTTTGGCCACACCACACAGCCCGCCAGCAGCATGAGGAACTTGCTCTGAGGTCAGCAGCACAGAAATTTCTGGCCAGAAAGATTTGGCTGGAAAGGCTGGGGCCATGCATTCTGCTGTCGGCCTGAGCAGCATCCTGCTGTTGTTTCAGTGTCCTGGCGATACTAGCGAAAATCAGCAGCCCCCAAAAGTCTCATCAGCCCAGGCGATGGTGCACACCTCCAGCAAGGGCCGCGGAAATGTCAGCTACAAGGCCAGCTGTTCGCAGCGCTGCGTGCCTGTGCCTTTGCGGGGATCCGGAGCCAAATGAGGCCAAACGTAACTTTGCAGAAGAGTCACCTAGAACGTGGATCACCACGTAACATGGATAAACAAGGTGCCCCGGCCTGCGGGCTGATGTTCAGGCTGACAAGCCCGCCTGCACAAGGTGGGCTGGGGGGTCCGCCCCAACTCTGCTTCATTGACAACTCCCCTTGCAACAAGAGCCTCCCAACCGCTGCTGTCTCTTCTTGAAAGTTTAGAAAAAGAGGGCTTAGTGATTGGGGGGGCGGGGGGAGGGGTGCTCACTAAGTAAAGGGCCCCCCACTAAGTTAAGGGGCCCCAAAACTTGTAGACAGTTTAGAAAAACTGCACTCAACGCTTAGTATTTTTTTTTTTTTTACAACTGTCGTATAGCATTTGTTTAACCAGGAGAAACCTTTTTTAAATTCAAATCTCCTTCATTACAACTCAAAATTCAATGAGTTATCACAGTATAGAGTTACTATCTGTAACATTTTAATCTTAGCAGTTCATCACAAAATGCGCCGTGATGTCCAATCTGGTTGGCAGCCACGCTGACCTGCATGCGTGGCCGTTGGGGCCACATCCTGCCGTCCTGCATTTGGCTGCTCATGTCTTCACTTACTGCAGAGAGAAGGCTTGCTGGGTCGGGACAGACACCACTGGGAACCTGCTGCTTAACTCTGGGGAAAGCTCAGTTCCGTTTCCAGTGGTCTTCCACGGGATGACATGGATTTAGAGCATATGGTTTGGTGCTTTCTTGAATGTGATAATCCAGAAAAGCAGTGAGCTTTGGTCATATACTACAAAGTCAGGAAAGTGGCTCATACACAGTTAGAGCCTCCTCACACACGTCCCTTTAATTTTTTTCCCCCAGACAGCATGCAAGTCAGCCCAAGCCCTTCATCAATGTCAACGGTCCCTCCTGATTGTAACCTTTCTTTATAAACCAAACGGAGAAATGCACACACAGCACACCGCCTCCCCCCGCCCCCCCGGCCTTTTCTTGTCAAACCTCTCTTCCACAATGATGAGCAAGGTCTGTCCTCCCTCCCACCCCAACAAAACTTACTAAATATTTTTAGGCAATTCACGATTAAGCTCTTATTGATGATGATTCTTTTCTCAGCACTACAGATACCATGTGCATTGACAGTGCTTTATATGTTACGTATAGCCAGTTTATTGTGTTTTCAACACAAAGGTAAACAAGCATGCTAAACCTAGTGCTAACAAGAGAAATGACTTCCGACAGTAAAAATGAAAGCAGAGCTGAACCCTGACAGATGAAGCAGGAAGATGCCTGCAAGAGCAGCACCAGGTGAGGCGCCGCGGGTGACCCTGGGAAGCCCTTCCCTGTTCGCTCTAGACTGTGCAGCCACCAGTCACACAGCTTTACACAGGCTTGGCTTTTGTGGCATGCGGGGCTGGCCTCATCAGTTCCAGTTACCATTCTTCCCAAGAAGCCTTGATGCCCACTTTATAGCTGTGCCCACATTTGCCACGGCTGTCATTTGCGGATTAGCCAGGCGAGGCACTCAGGGTTCTGAGGCACTCAGGGTTCTGAGGCTTATGACCTACATCCGACTGCTACTGACTTGCTCCCAACGAAAGTCCAGTCAACATACACATGGAGGTAACTGCTGTGCTGCGCAGCTGTCACTCAGCTGAAGACGGGCTCAGAGACGCCAAGGTTGTCACCTTGCCTTTAGACGCCTGCTTTTAGAGTCGCCTTCCAGAACGCACCCAAAACACGGTAAATGTAAAGGTGGAGGAGCAATTCGCACGCCCCTCGACGCACCCCAGCGTCTGTCAGCTCGGTGCCGTGCGCTGGGGAGCTCACTACGTACAGAGCAGCTTTCCCACTGTCGACTGCTTTCATATCACAGGGCCCACTTACTCTCTACTGACTTCCTGTTTTCGGTCAGAGCTGACATACTTAGTTAAACGATAGACCTTGTTCATCAGATTAGGCGCCTTCATACCTTTAGTTCTATACAGACATCAAGATAAAAGCTAAAGGTTTAGAACCAACGAGGCAGTTCGGGAAAAGGTACTGTCCTGGCAAAGCGGCCTTGGGCAGCTGGGGCCGGCCGCACACCTCTCCTGTGGAGCGCAGGCGCCTGCTCTCTGAGCAAAGCCTCGTCTGCACCCGGACAGTCCTCTCCCTGCCAGGCGCATGTTACCACGCCGGGTGCACACGCAGATTCTCAGCTACTTTGAAAATAGTTTTTATTAGCTCAACTGACAGGATGGAAACAGGAAATGAACAAAATCTAAACTCTCAAAGTTCACATCTTCCTTAGATACTGATATGACCATGGCCAAGTTACTTGGCTTTTCTGGGCCGTGGTTTCCTCCTCAGGCTAATACCAGACTTCTGAGGTCATCAGCATCATTAAGTGAGCCTGTCCACATAGAATAGCTTGATGTCAATACCGACACTTGTTACCAAAGAGGGTCAAGCTCAGGGGCGGGGCATCTGACTGCAGAGACTTGTTATCAGTACAGGGGAAGTCCAGTGAAGTTGACGTTGAGTCCTCTTTGACGGGTTACCTGCACCCTCACTAAAAATGCACAGCGTGAGGTTAGGAATCTTAATAGTTGCGCAGCGCCCATTCCTACTAACACCCAGGAACAGACAGTGGGTGAGGCAGAGAGAAAAAACAAAAATATAGTTCAGGGGGTAAAACTTTACATCTGACAGTGATATCTTAGAAGGTTCTAGACAATATGCTAAACATGACTTTAGAAGGAACTGAAACAATTTGTGAGGTTATCATTAGATCCCTAGAAAGCAAACAGTGCTCACTGCGAAAGGGTAGACAGTTATACTGAAAAGGTAAACAGCTACATGCTGTAACAGAGCATCTTGCTTTTTTTTTTTTTTTTTAAGTTTTATGTCTGCAATGATTCACTCCTGGTCTAAGAGAAAATCATGAGACCTACGTCTATGAGAAATGGCAGACCGACCTTGCAGCTTCTGATTTTCCTTCTCCATTCTGAGCAGCAGTATCTGTTGAAGAATGGCCTTTTGCCACAGCTCTCGAAGCTCACGTGACGTCCTTTTCTTTTCCTCTGGAACAGGCCCAAAGGCTCCATCTTCACAAACTGGTTCTAGAGGAGATCTCGGAGGGAGCTCTCCCAGTTCTGAATAATCTAGAAAGGCAATTTCAGAAGTCATTTTTTCAGATTTATTTTAAACGGTGTCAAATCAGAACATTCTTCTCACTCAAATATTACATGATGGTAACACCAAATTTAAAATTCACACTTTAACATGCATTGGAATAAACCATGCCTGAGTCACAAATTATATATCAAATGGTGAGCAAAAGTTGCAGCAGCTGAGGCAATGTTTTCAGGAACCTAGGGCTGTGTTTTGATCTTCTGAGTTGATGACTGTATTATTGATAACAACATTCACATAGTACTTGTTATGTGCCAGATTACTCTAAGGCCTTTGTGTTCATGAACTTACTTAACACTCAGCCTTCCTAAGACATGGGTACCATACCACACTCAGTTTAAAAGACAAACAAACGGGGAGTTGAAGCAGTGGGCGCAAGGTCAGCGAGCTAGGAGTGGCCGAGTCGGTGTAGCTTTCGAGCCAGTCTGTTATGAGGCCAGGAACTTGGGGAGAAGATTAAAACATGCTTAACAGCCAATTAAAACAGGGACCATTAACAAATCCTTTACCAAGAGCTAGGCACTGTGCCAGGCATTACTTTTAGACAGCGCATCAGTGCCTCTAATCTTGACAATTCCAGAAGGAAGACAGCAGCCTGAAGACAAAACGAAGACTCGGAGAAGCCAGTAGCTTGCCCAGAACAAGCATGTGTGCTGGGACCCTCACTAGGTCTACCTGGCTGGGAAGTCCATGCTCCGAGTAAAGGGTTCCCCCTTTGACACCAAGTTTTAAGTCTCTACTTCCTACCTGGACTCTTTACATTTCATGAATTTGTGCTTTTCTTAGCCATAGACACAGTGTTGTTACAGCCCACAGGTACCCTGCAGACAGGCACAGAGATGCACCCCCTGCTCACCAGGTGAAAAGCAGCAGAGTTTCCATACACGGGGACCTCAGCAGACGCCACTCAGACACTTCTGTCTAAAGTGACGCTAAATAAAATCACGGCCTTGGTAACTGGTGTGCACAGCGCTTCAGATGCAAACGGAGCCCCCCATCCCCCCCGATACAACATCCAATTTCCTTTTGGGATTGAAAAAAATCCAAGTGGAAAATGCCATTCAATTCCAAGTCCAGAATTTCTACAACAGCTGTCACCACTGACTGCTCATTATCTAAAGTTGGGCTTGTGTTCCTCTGTGAGAGCTATGAAATAAAACACAAGCCACACAATGTTTAATTTCCTTGAGAAATTTGTCCATCTTAACAACTCTTAAAAATTACTGAATTAGGGTCCTCCCTGGTGGCTCAGCGGGTTAAAGCACAGCACTGAGAATCTAAAGCCGCTTCTGCATGAGTTCAATTCCCGCCTGCCCCGGAGGTGACCACATGGTGTGGCAGACCTCTCCTGACCCGCCCGCTGCTCCCCTCAGCAGTGTACTTCGTCCATCTGCCTGTTCTGTTCCCCAGTCTGTCTCTGGTGAAGCCTCTCACTGCCCCTGAGCCTCTGGCCTGTACCCCAGTTCTGTATGCACAAATAAATAAATCTTTAAAAAAAAATTACTGAATTAAAAAGACTATGACAGGCATGAAACATGCTTTATGATCACTGTTGAGCAATTAAATGCTTATCACATTTCTATATATGCCTAATTTATGATGCTCCTATTAAAAATGAATACATTAAAATTCAACTTCTTAGGCATCTTACAGGATGCTACTCATGGGTAACAGTCAAAACTAAAGCAGGAATCAAACTGTCTGGAGAGTTTGATCTCAATTTTACTAGTATGAGGGGCAGGATTAACTTAGTGATTAACAGGGCAGGCTCTGAAGTCAGGCTGCCCAGACTTTAATCAAGATTGTGCGTTTACTGGCAGTATCTGACCTTTAGCAAACTGCTTACACTCTCTGCCTCAGCCTCAGCCTCAGCCTGGTGTGGGTCACATATCCGTATAACCGGATGTGGTTATAGAGACGTGGTTGTAGAGACGAGTCACTATACAAGATACAAAGCACCTCAGACAGGGTCCAGCATGAAGCACAAATGTTAGCTCCTATTGTTTGCTATCATATATCCATTAAAGCACAGAAAACAAACAAAAAAAAGAAAACGAGCAGGAAGCACTTCTAAATACAGTCCTCCGCAGTAAGCTGTAAGGTTAGCGCTTGTCGGGGAGAACCTGCCTAGCACCAAGTATAGTTCCTCGCACCCAGTAGACGCTGGATAAATTACTTGGATAAAAGAAGTAACTTCTGGGCTGGAACATGCTTGATGCTAGTGTTTGTATTTCCTGTATAATTTATTTTTCAAAGACTTATTTATTTATGCATACAGAGCCGGGGTACAGGACAGAGATGCAGGGGCGGCGAGAGGCTTCACCAGAGACAGAGTGGGGAGCAGAACAGGCAGATCGAGGAAGTGCACTGCTGAGGGGAGCAGCGGGCGGGCCAGGAGAGGTCTGCCGCGCCTTGTGGTCGCCTTGTGGTCACCTCCGGGGCGGGGATCGAACTCGCACTTAAGCGCTGCGGGTCGCTTGCAATGCTGCATCCTAACCCACTGAGCCAACAAGGAGGGTTATCTGCATATTTTATAATCCAAAATTTTAAATATAAATCTGCTCTGCAGCGTCAATTTCATGAGCCCTTTCCTGCAGGAGTTTGTTTGTTGAATGCCTTTGCCATCTCAGCTGTTAGTCGTGACTCCAGTTCTGCTTTCTCTCACGTCTGAGGTATTCTTGCGCCGACTAGTTCATGCGCCTCCTTTCCTTACACCGGCTCTTGCGCGGTACCGGCTGACTCAGCGCCCGCCCGAGCGGTGGCGAGAGGGTCTGCCAGTCTTTCTTCTGAGGGCCTGAGAATTCCAACTGCGTTTTTCTGATTCTGGTGCCCGGAGCAGCGAGGCGGGTGGACCACCGTCTAGGGGTTCACGGCTGTTAGCCCTCGGTGAGCCAGCTCCTGCCGACCGGGAGGCTGCCAAGTCCCAAAATCTACAGAAGCTCACAGAGCTCCACGTTTGGCAGCTGTTTGGAGAAACTGAGGCTGTAAAGCACACCTGTGCTGTTGGCGACCACACTGTGATGTTGAAGTCAAAATACCGCTGCCCTGATGTGTCTTCTTTTGCCATTTGTTCATTTTTATCAACCACTGCTCGGTGTGCCGGGTCCTTAGCAAAGGAAGCTTGTCTGATCCTCTCATCAGGCACATGAGGTAACAAAATAACCCAGGTGGTCACATTGTTGACTTGCTCAAGGACTCACGGCCAACCAGTGCAGAGGCACAGTTTAAGGCAAAGCGCGCTTTCTCCTAACCCAGATGCCGCTGCCGCTGCCAGGGCACAAAACTGGGGCCAGGTCTCACGTTCCCCACATCGCCTATGACAGAACGTAGAATACTTAAATGAGGGGGACGCCGAGAAAATAATAGCCGTCCATGGGTTCTGAGGCTTTTTAAATCTCATAATGCAGGGGCCTGGGAGGTGGCAGCCTCCATTTAAGTCATTGCTGTGACATTCTCGGTCAAGTCATAAATATGATCTGTGCTGGTAAGTCGATATGGTAGATGCCAAGGTGTTCTCCAGCGATTCTGCCCTCTGCACACGAGCGTGTGGGCAGGGAGACACGGCCTTGCTGGTGAGAGCATGGTCAGCGCTAGGCATGGCAGTGTGAGAGGGGACACGCTCAAGGCTCGGCTCTATCCAGTTTCTAGCAAGACACAGGGCAGGGCGTCCTTTCCTCAATTCCCACGAAACACCGACAGCAGCTCTGAGCTACATTCTTCCATTGCAGTGATGCCACCAAGTGCCCCTTCTCCAATACTCGGGCATTTTCTGTATTCCCTCACGACAGCATTTTACAAACCCCCTCCAGCCCTCCTGAAACTCCTCATCTCCCATCCCCACAGCATCCTTCTTTTCTTACGTTCCAGATATTCTGAAACCTCCGTTTTCACAACAGTGAATAGGTTGTGGAAACAAGAGTTAAAAACTGAACGTAGAAATCTCCGGAGAAAAATTAACGACCACAAGGATTAACAACTGCTGCATCTGTTGTTACCAACAGCCGAAGAAAATTTCTTCAAAAAACAAAGTGAGATGGAGGAAAGGACAGGCAGCCCTCTGCGAAACGCTTCACCTCTGAGAGGCTCGAACAATGCGACCTCCCGACGCAGAGCAGAGGCTCCGCGCAAGGCTGGCGCCTGGGGAGCGCCCAGCACGGGGGTGGCCGCTGGTCAGAGGTGCCCGGCCGTGGGGCATTCCGCCCAGGCAGAGCGTCTCCTGTCACGGCTTCTCTGCGTGTTCTGTGGAACATCTGAAGGACCTGGTCATTTTCTACACAAGTATTAGATGACAGTTTAGCTACAGAGAGACAATTTTT